GATGAATAGTGTATTTAATAATGAATAGAATAATTGTTAAAAATAAAACAGTATAATGTGTAAACATATAATTTGTTGTTCTTGATAGATTTGATGTTCTAATTTTGTTAACTAAAGTTTATTGTTTGAATTTATACTTGAGGAAAAAGGAGCAGATATAAGATTGTTTCATAGTGTTTGTGTTTTATTTTTATTGTATAAAAAGTTGTTTTTAATGAAATGAATCAGGTTAAAGTGAAACGTAAAGTTCGGACCTCCTCCAGAGCAGAAAACTCAGGTGGGACTCCATGAAGGAAGAAGCGGCTCAGAGGACTTGGACGCAGCTCGTAGTCCTCCATCCCCTGGTACAGTTTCTGAAGGTAGTCCCTCCTGGTCTCAGGACTCAGATCCCCCAGCAGACCCAGCGCGGCCTCCAAGGCATCCTGAGGTCTCTGGAAGTCCCTCAGCCAGCGCAGCAGCCCCTCCAGGCGGCTGGGCCTCTCCTGGTCTGCAGGGGCAAACTGGGTCCAGTTGATCTCCGTCAGCTTCACGTAGTCGTTCCCGGCCAAGGCAGCGAAGCTGGGCAGGAGCTGCAGCTGGACTCCAAAGAAGGAGCAGAAGCTGGAGGTGTAGAACCTCCTGCAGGAGATGAAGTTCTGAGAGCCGGTCCGGTTCACCTCCTTCCAGTGGAAGTGAGATATGGGCAGGAGGCCTGCGGGCAGGTCGAAGATGAAGAAGTCGCTGTCGTTGGAAAGAACCGGACACTTCCACTCAGACGCCAGGGCCGCGATCTCGTGGTCCGACTCTTCGAAGCACTGGGCCACCGGAACCTGCAGCCGGGCCAGCGTCTGCCTCAGCACCAGGCTGGCCAGAGGCGGGAGGATCTGCATGGACCTGCCGCTCACCGCTGCCTGGCTGGCCCGCTGGACCCGGTCCTCGGTCCTCCTGGCCTGGGTCTCAACCTTTTTGTCAGAGATGTTGGACGCTCCGTCCAGAACCACATATGGACTGATGTCACAGGTTCTGAGGGCCCGGATGAAGCTCTCAATCAGACTCTCAAAGGCAGCGTACTCCCCACCGTGGTTCTGGTCCAGACCTGACAACAAACAACAATAAGTAAACAAACAAACAAACAATCAAATAAACAGCAAACAAACAACAATAAGTAAACAAACAACAATAAGTAAACAAACAACAATAAGTAAACAAACAAACAATCAATCAAATAAACAGCAAACAAACAACAAACAACAATAAGTAAACAAACAAACAATCAATCAAATAAACAGCAAACAAACAACAAACAACAATAAGTAAACAAACAAACAATCAATCAAATAAACAGCAAACAAACAACAAACAACAATAAGTAAACAAACAAACAATCAATCAAATAAACAGCAAACAAACAACAAACAAACAATAAGTAAACAAACAAACAATCAATCAAATAAACAGCAAACAAACAACAAACAAACAATAAGTAAACAAACAACAATAAGTAA